CAAAATTATAAAAATAATTCAACTTAAGCATTCAAGAGACAAATGCTTGTTCAAGTAAAAAGGAAAAACTATGTGAAAATACATATTAAAAACATTAAAATTTAAATTATGTGTTAAAAATATATAATTTATTGGATCTAAGCTGGAAAAATAAATATGAAGGTGAATTAATTTATAAAACATGCGGTAAAGTTCTTTTTAACTTATTTGGTGCATTTTAAATGTATTTATTTAAAGGTTCATTTATCTATTTCTGCTTTTATTTCTAATAATGTGAGTGTCGGTCCTCCAAACTGCAGAACATGAAGAGGTAGTTCAGGGACTGAATCAGGTGTGTTGGGCCAGGAAACATGTAAAACATGCAGGACTGCGGACCTCCAGGACCAGGACTGCCCACCCCTGGTCTAGTTCCTCAGTAGAAGGGGGTCGTTCCGTTCCAGTCGATGGCGGCTCCGTCCCACTTGGTCCTGATGGTCATCTCCAGAGGAGGGAACCTTTTCTCCAGGTCTTGCTCTGGGTTTGGGGGCGGAGCCTCCCAGGGGTCAGACTGAGTATCTGTAATTACCAGAACAGGTGGTGTAAATGTACGGGTTCTGGTTGGACCTGAAGCGGACTGACAGTGTTGCTCACCAATGGTCAGCCGGGCTGTGGACCTCTGAGAGTTCTGCCCGTTGTAGTAGAACAGCTGGAACTGGTGCTCCCTTTTCCAGTCGGACAACAGGGACCGGTTCAGGCTGAACAGAACCGAGAAGCTGCTGTTGATACAACAGACCCAAACTGGAAACCGGGGCGTCTTCAGCATGCTGCCCACCTTGAGACAAACGTCATGTTAATAACTGGTGTCAGAGCAAAACCAGGAGGGACCACAACCAGGTGTTTACCTGTGGCAGCACGTCTCGTTCCATCTGCTCCTGGCTCCAGGTCAGGTACCCCACATCCCCACGAGACAAGACCCCCTTCAGGGGGGACTCTAGAGGCTCACCATCTTCCCCAGACGACAGAGTCCCATTAAAGACTTGAGGACAAGCTCTGCCAGTCAGGAGAAGATTCATTAGAGCCTGGAGAGACACAGAGGACAGAGTCCCAGTTTCACTGTCACACACTGGGAACTATTTCACTGTCACACACTGGGAACTACTTTACAGTCACATACTGGGAACTACTTTACTGTCACACACTGGGAGCTACTTTACTGTCACATACTGGGAACTACTTTACAGTCACACAATGGGAACTATTTCACTGTCACACACTGGGAACTACTTCACTGTCACACACTGGGAACTACTTCGCTGTCACACACTGGGAACTACTTCACTGTCACACACTGGGAACTATTTCACTGTCACACACTGGGAACTACTTTACTGTCACACAATGGGAACTATTTCACTGTCACACACTGGGAGCTACTTTACTGTCACACACTGGGAGCTACTTTACTGTCACACACTGGGAACTACTTTACTGTCACACACTGGGAACTACTTTACTGTCACACACTGGGAACTACTTCACTGTCACACACTGGGAACTACTTTACTGTCACAAACTGGGAACTACTTTACTGTCACTGGGAACTACTTTACTGTCACACACTGGGAACTACTTTACTGTCACTGGGAACTACTTTACTGTCACACACTGGGAACTACTTTACTGTCACTGGGAACTACTTTACTGTCACGCACTGGGAACTACTTTACTGTCACACACTGGGAACTACTTTACTGTCACAAACTGGGAACTACTTTACTGTCACTGGGAACTACTTTACTGTCACACACTGGGAACTACTTTACTGTCACTGGGAACTACTTTACTGTCACACACTGGGAACTACTTCACTGTCACACACTGGGAACTACTTTACTGTCACAAACTGGGAACTACTTTACTGTCACTGGGAACTACTTTACTGTCACACACTGGGAACTACTTTACTGTCACACACTGGGAACTACTTCACTGTCACACACTGGGAACTACTTTACTGTCACACACTGGGAACTACTTTACTGTCACACACTGGGAACTACTTACTTCACTGTCACACACTGGGAACTACTTCACTGTCACACACTGGGAACTACTTCACTGTCACACACTGGGAACTACTTTACTGTCACACACTGGGAACTACTTTACTGTCACACACTGGGAACTACTTCACTGTCACAAACTGGGAACTACTTTACTGTCACAAACTGGGAACTACTTCACTGTCACACACTGGGAACTATTCCACTGTCACACACTGGGAACTTCTTTACTGTCACACACTGGGAACTACTGAACTGTCACACACTGGGAACTACTTCACTGTCACACACTGGGAACTACTTCACTGTCACACACTGGGAACTACTTCACTGTCATACACTGGGAACTATTTCACTGTCACACACTGGAAACTATTTCACTGTCACACACTGGGAACTATTTCACCGTCACAAACTGGGAACTACTTTACTGTCACACACACTGGGAACTACTTTACTGTCACACACTGGGAACTACTTCACTGTCACACACTGGGAACTATTTCACCGTCACAAACTGGGAACTACTTTACTGTCACAC